GAATAATAAACTTAAAACTAGGAGTGATTGCTTAGAATTCTTAGGGTCAATCTTAAGATTTCTTTTTCACTTAAGACTATGGGAAAACCTGTAAAGCTTATAGAAGTCTTCGGTTGAAAAACTTTATGATATATTGAGAAAACAAGCACAGATAGAGCTAAATATTTCGCAGAAATATTTATGTCTCTCTTTATATAGCTATGTTGTGATATCGTGATTATATATCTAAAAATACTGAATGATATGCAAAACTTGAAACTTCAACTGAGAGTTGAACCCGCATTTCATCCATACCAAAGGTGTTACCATTGCATCTCTCAAAAACTTGCTCTGGCACTATACTTTCTGCCTTACAGCATTCTCAAACTTAGATTGAAACATCCTAGCACAGCTGAAAAAGCAGTGAAGTAGAAAATTTCTGTAAAGCAAATAAACAATTATATATGTATAAATATATATATATATATATATATAATATACATATATATATTTATACATCCAATAGCTGTCAGCTCAATTGCATTTGATGTCAATTTGTGCTCAACAAAGTAAACCGGTTGATGGCTGATTGCTGGGAGCTTCAATACCTTATATCGGAAAAAGAGTGTAGCAGAAGTAACAGCGATTTCTAGAGGATATGTTTTGCAAAAAATTACATATAGAGCTCGACATGGACAAAAATCATTCAAATATGATGGTCAACTCGATCAACTTGCAAAAGCTACAGGTATAGAAAAACTGTGTTTACTGTGAAAATCTTTGACATTATTCAATCTCAAAATTCCAATTAGAATTCCATGAATAAGAGTGTTAGTCTACATTCAAATGTCCAAGTTCCTACACGAGGTGATCTGTAAGCTGTCAAAAAAGATACTCTTTCCAATTTTTAAGAATACAAGACGTGAAGCGCATTCATTATAGATTTGCGCCTCTCCAATTAGATAATATTGTGTCTTCCTTCCTTGTAAGAAGCCGTTGCTAATACACTCATAATTTGCTCGGTAGTCGTCTTTATTTCGATGAAGGAAAAAAGTGCGAACGCTTTTCTTCAGTAAAGCTTGTCACTGCCGTTGTGTTTGTGGATATAAGCGTCTTTTTTGAACTAGTCTGTTTTGACATTGAAGATCCAAAAAATTCATTTGAAAAAATTTCTATCCGTATCCAGCACTATGAACACAGATGCACATCTAGCCAATTATTTTTCTCTTTTACTTTTGATGATGTGTAAACATACTTGAATCAGTGTGTGATAAAGTGCACGACTATAAAACATAAAACTAAATACAAACACTAATAAGTGAGAGAAGCAGAAAGCACAATGGTAGAGTTGTATTTCGATTATGATTGAAAGGCCTTTGGTATACAACTTGCCAGAATTCAACCGCGCTTTCCAAATTACCGTGTTCAAAAAATTAGTGCTAAACGCACCTGAGAAAATCTTCTCATTCTATCCAAAAAAATTGTTGAGTGCCCGTGATGAAGACGTCTCAGCACAGTTACCCTGGGATTCTAAGGAGAATCTCCTTACCAACTGAATGCTAAAATCCTCACACGGCAGCCGAGATCACAAGCAAATCGCAAGCCTTTCGTGGTTAATGAATCATTGAAATTAGAGCGAATAAAATAAGTGTTTAGATTTGAGCAACTATACGTCATATCTAGTCTCGTAAAAAAAACAATAAGTAAGACGATTGAGTTCTTATTGAGGTTGGTTTCACACCGTGTCTAACTCAATCGTACTTGTTAGGGTTGTCGTGCGCGAATCCCATTACGGAGGATGGTCGGTGTTTGGAGCAATTTCATTGCTGTTGAAGATGGCAATATAACAGCCGGATGGCACATGTCACAATGGGTAAATGGCAATTGCTATCCAACATCAAACCAGTTGTCCTTGCTTCCATTGCCTTTCTGATAATTGCCTTTTCCAAAGGTCCACTATTGGACAAAAAGTCCGATAGCAGTGGCCAGCATGAATGACGGAAGAAATTGTTTTCTCTAAGCTCTGAGCATTGGGCTGTGCATTCGACTTCAGCAAGCAACGTTAGAGGTGACTGAAAGCGTATATGGTCTATACAATGACTTGATCTAGACTAGACTACTGGGTACAAAGTCGGCACTATCGTCCTCTCAGACAAGCATGATTATCATTTTGCCAATCCCGGAAGAATGGAGGCTTGCGGAACCGGTCATGCGGAATCAAAAAAAAAACGACCTCTTTGTTCTTCACAGCGCCATTGACCACTGTGCTGCAGGCTTTCTAATTTTCTGTCGATCCTTTGCTTCAAGCCGAACTACAAGGGCATCTTATTATGCTGGTAGTTTTCCTGTCGAATTCTTTGTCTCACTTAGAGCACCACTGTTGCGCTTAGTTTATCCTTTTTTCATATCACTTTTCGTATTCGACCTAAAAAAGATTCTTAAAAAAACATAACGACCTTCTTGTAGGATTCTCTGGCTTCACCCACACAGTTAATATTTTTCTTTACAGATACAGTTATATGAAACCATTTGAAAGAGGGAAACTAAATGCCGGGTTCGAACTGGTGAGACGAGGCTGAGGCGCAGACGTCACTCAATTGCTGTTCTAATATACCTTAATGGACTGCGGCTTTGAGAGCAACATGTGCACTGTAGTGTAATGACGACAAAATTAGTGGATAGAATAAACAACAACCATCGCAGAAACCTACTCGACTGGAAATGCTGTACCATTTTCTCATTCTTATCTCAAAGCAAAAAATCTAGGAGTTTCCGCTGCTTTCGTTAAATTCTTAATTGAAAAGACCGATGACAGTTTGATAAACGGCTTCGTGATGGATGAGAATTTATTCCACAGTGAGATACAACCTATCCAAAAGGTAAAGCGAAATGCTCGTGAAAATTATAACAAGATTTTATTGCTACATCAACTGGATGCAGTGATCAATTGAACGATCTCGTAGCCTTTTGTTTCTTTTTTTTTGGGTAATCCTGTTTGAAATTCTTTGCATTATCGTTAACGATTTTTATTTCGGAGGCATATTTTACTGAAATGAGATATTTTAATGACTTTGCACAAAGAACTTTTGAAGATCTCAGAGTGCACTTGTTTTAAAATGGCTTTCTTACGACGGTGTGAGATTAAAATTTCGTTTCACACACTTCACACGTTATCACACGTATTCTATTTTTTAACTGAAAGTTTTTCTCCGATTCATAAAGATATTCAAGTTTTACGCGTTGGAATGTGAAAGGAACTCCGTAGTGCCACACTTTGAGGAGAAGATTTTTACTCTCATTTCATATTGTTCAATAAATCCACTAGTATGCCTATGCTTAGACCCTAAGCCTGTGCACAAAAAGTACATAAATTTGTAGAACAATTTTTACAAGTGTAAGAGTGATATGTTCTGTTAAAGTTTGCTTAGATCGAATTAAACCTAAAAAAAATTACACAAAATGCGCGCCGTACGTGATTACGCTACTCGTTCGATGATGCCGTCTCGAAAAGTAATGACTTCGAGCGTAAAAAGTAAATTTATTTTCACTGCCACACCACTCTGAAATGATCTCTCAAAAGGCTTAAAATATTGAAATCGTCAAGATCTAAGCTAACTAATAATTACTAAGATTTTAACAGAAAACCTCTGTCCAGCTTAAAATTCTCCGAAACGCGCTGACAGTGGAGCTGAACAATGTACTCGCTGCTACAACGTATTGAAAAGTCTATTTAAGAAATAAAATACAGAGTATAATTTCAGACATTTCTGATGCCAAATGCTTACTAAAACTCAGAGAGAGCAGGAAATGTGCTGTCTTCAAGGGATTTGAAATATTTACTGTTAAATGAATAAATCTTCCATGTTTAATGAACACAGGATTTGGGAGCAGGTTCTCTTGTAATTGCTGGAATTCCCTGTTTACTGTTGATAACTTTTTGGCAATATGATAATTGTGTGAAGACTTGTTTGATACGATGAGGCAACAAAGAGCCGTCATTATCATCACGTCAAGTTCAAACGAAGCTGCTTTGTCACATCACAGCGGCAACAACTACGTCATAGGGAAAAAACAAAATGATGAGAAGGGCGCAACGCGTCCATTCACTGAATTTTCACTTCAGAGCTTGCAGATTGCCAAGTTTACAACTGTCAACTTTTTCATGGAACCAGAGCTCAAGTCGAAAGCACTATGATGTCTATTTTTTTACATGACAGCTTTCTGACTTTGGCAAATAGGTATATAATGTAAGCCTATTTTAATGTTTATGTGATCATTTATGCTGCTGTGTCACTGAATTTCATCGAATAGTTTTCGAAAAATTCCAAAAACCCGCCGCAAGAATGGGAGCATTGTGATCAATAGTGGTTTTACACCGCAATTTATGTTGATTTTTGAGCCAAGAAAGGTTTTTCTTCACTCATGTAAACATGAAAGACTCATGAGTGGTGAATGTTTGAATATGCTACCTTAAATGCAGCTGAATTTTATGTTCCAGTGTTTTCTATTGGAATTTCCGAAGTGCTTGACTGAATCGGTTTCACACCATTCTGATCAGTCCAGGCTGCTACTCTACTATTACCACTTTATCGATGCGGTCGAATTTTCTTCACTGTGCGGATCCTAGTACTTTAGTAATCAATTCGTTTTCCGTCTTCTTCAAGAACGCCGTAGAACACTGGTTGAGCATGTCTACTTGCAATCCTGAGGCTAGCCTGTCTGTGGCGTATCATAGGTCGCTCGTTGTTGACTGCGGCAGAGTGTTATGGTTGGGGATCGGCCCGCACCGCGGCGGACATCACAACCACTCGGTCACGGCCTTTTTTTTTCAGGCTGTTAAGATGGCGGAACAGCCGAGACAATAACTAATAAGAAAAAGGTTGTGCGCTGATAACGTTCTGCTTGGAGACCACGAAAACGCGAAGTTCTTGATTAGCGCAGTGCACGTGGATTTTGAAGGCGCAAAATGTGATGAATGTGAAATACGATTGCTAAGAGAGCTGAGTGGTGAGCAAAGACACAGCCTCAGGCGAGAATCAAACTCGCGCTTCATCCTATCCGTGGACGTGTGCTCTACCACTGCACACCGAAACACATCTGCACCACCACTACTCTTCAACATCTCCATGTTAGCTATCAGCCACCAACCTTTGACAGAATTGTTTCGTTTTTTAGTTTTTGCTCACTGTTTTTGCTTTTTTGCTTTTTTACTCACCTTGTTTTTGTTCACTACTCAATTCTCTTAAGAATATATGAATGATCATAACACCGCGAAAAATGCACTAAAATATTAGAAGTTTCGAATATCAAATACAATTGCTTCAGAAAGATGTAAATTCGTGATAGCAAACTGTGTTACAGAAGTTATTCACGCTTATTGTCTTTGTTAAATGTGGCTGATATGTGAAATATGAACTAATTTGAGGTCTCTACGCCATTGCAGACGTATTTCGTAGAACTCCTGAAAGCAATTCGGAACGTTTGTGCGCATAAGCGCCAAACATCTGTAAGTATAGAGATAGGATTAGTAATACTTTTGCCACTATGGATAATCTTAAACTATCGTTATCCGAAAAGACATTACATGAGGGCACAAGAGTCATTTCGTCTATGAAAAGGCATCACTCATAATAGAAGCATTATTCTTTTTCACCTTTGTATTTCACGAAACTTTAACGAATGCAACAGTGGTGAATAAGTTCTTGAATTCAAACAAAACAATGAATAGTTCATTAAATTTGCAGTCTTTCAATTTTGGGCAGTCGGTCATAATTTACTGTGAGAACTTTCAGTTCTTTTATTCGACTCTATTCATCGCAGCCATCGATCAAAGAGGTATTGGAACTTTTGATGTGCCTGTTCTCCTGGTATTTAGATAGTACTCTTTTCTATGAATGCATTTAGACCAGATCGAGACAAATCTCCGTGTGCTCGGATAGCTGATTTGGAGCGCTCTCATGTGGATTGCAGAAAGCTTATGAAATGATTTAAATCATGAGTAGAATACGATAGAAATTTCTTAAGCCCTTCACGAGTCTGCTATGGCACCTCGAGCGCTTGATGTACGTTTCGGCTTCCTTGCAAGCCTCATCACTACCACGTACCATTCAGCTACTCTCCCTTTACTATAAGCAGTCGACGTCGTATTAGTTACATTCTGCGTAAGGTGAAAAGACCACCTTACAAAGTGCTCGCTTTGAATGACTCAATTCTTGTTAACGGTGCTGAGTAGAGGTCCGTGTTTTTATCTAAAATCCAATCAATTCTTTTTGTTTCAACACTCCCATTTCACTCCCTGAATGGTCACTTTTTAGGGAAATTGTAATCATTAATTCTTCACAGTGCGTACCTTCTTATAACGCTGTAATGTTCAAAATAAAATTGTGTTGCACATGCGCTGCGCAATTCAACTATTACTTCGCTGGAAGCACGAAAAGCACATGAACGTTCGAAGAAAACTTTTTGTATCAGAGTCATACGTTTGATGTGAAGTTTCTTTCGATGCAGCGAAAAAAACTCCTAATCAAATGACAAAAATCGCACTTTTTCAAAGAGCCAATCAGTCGATCGTGGCCGGCCGCCGGATCGAATCTTCGGCCACTAGGCCGCCCGACCGGGGATTAGCCTTTAAACAAGCAAGACAATGTGTGAAATTCGATTTTGTCTTTCCTGCTACACTGCAGAGAAATGCTCTTTTAACGAAATGATTACAGCGCTGGAATTTCTGAATCCTACGCTATCGAACATTACTAATATCCTGAAGAAAAAGCTTTGTCTTGCGAGAAAAATGAGTGTGTGAGTCACAAACGATTCCTTTTTGCAACAGCCTCTGAAAAGGTTTTTTTTTCCAGAAACCGGCCATGTGCCGCGCTAGCCGGAGTTTGAAGCTTTCGTATGATTACTAAACTCCTATAAAATGTTCTTACCTAGCGAATGGGGTCAAATATCTATTTGTCACTCTATAATGGACTAGCACCTTTTATTATACCGCTTTATTAGTAGTATTATGAGACAAAACTATAAACCTCTAATTCGAAGTATATGAGTTCACGTGGTGGTCCTGTGCGTCAACCGCATCGGAATTTGACTAGGATAAGTGGATTTTTTTGGTACTGTTGATGAACCAAATTCTAATGATTCTTCGGTTGACAAGTCAATTGAATTGGAACTCCAGGGCCACTCGGTAGCTGTCTTGCACTCTGTGTTGTGCGTTGTATGGGAGTCGTATCAGCACGGTTAGTGTATATAATTTATATAACAGACAATGAATATCCCGGCATAGCGAACAATGAATGCACGTGAAAGCACAATCTAAAAATATGAACCTTGCAATAATACACCGAAACAATATATATGCAATCATAACACAATTCTATGCGACGATAAAGTGACGAATGCGTGAATGGAGGATGTATGAGAGCTTTTGAGTGAAAACGGACCAGACCTTACGTGACGAGCACGCGGTGGGGAGGAGCCTTTGCGACAATAGACGATCAAACGGGCAGCGGTACGTCAGGGTCGATCAGGAAAAGGTACATAGGAGTCAGGAAGAACAACAAGCAAGGTGCATCGTGAAGTCAAAGAGCCACAACCGGGACAGCCGAGAGACGCCAGCATCATTGATGAGTGATCAATCCGTAATTAGTGGGCACAGTTCAGTGGCCATGGAGCACGACGCTAGCAGGCTGGGATCCAAATATTGCCATGGGACCCCTATGAAGACTGCACCGAGCGGAACATCTAGTGGATCTGTGTGCTTGCGCTCTATCAGACTTTATGTAAATTAGAAGAGTGAATAAATATGTGACTGAATACCTTACCCTCGCCGGCAGGTCGTGAATGCTCTCGGCGGCAGTCCTGAATGGCTCATTCTAATGCTCCGCTGCTTAGTGGATTCCCCAATACATGATGGTATAAGCCACACCTCGACGACGACTCAGCGCTCCGCGCCAACGGTACGACAATGTCAGCGACATCGATATACAACTGATCACGACGTTATTGCATGCCTTCTCCTGATGGCATGAGACGCTTGGCCTGTGCGTTCTCATAGGTATAAGAGAAAGAACCTGAACCTGGTCGTTCGTGGTGGGATTTCTGAGTGGTCAACACTGTTGATTGGCACTCGCTAGCCGAAAGAGAAAAATAGAAACGAATCTGGAATTGCTATATTAAGTACACGACTTTGCATATCACTCGGAGGATAAGTAGTTCATTTTGCTTAGTCTGAAAGAAGAGTCATGCATTCAACTTCATCAAACTGGTGCTCAGCAGGAAGAATGAATAAATCAGCCGTCTTGATCAAGCTTCGAAGACAAAAATCAATATAAAATTGAAATGCTCGAGAATTAAGCCGTCGAATGACTACTAGAACTCTGAAATAAATTAGAAAACTTTTATTTTCAAGGCAATGGAACGCGGTGGAGTTAACGAAAAGATACTGAAAAAGAGTAGGCAGGGTCTTGTTGTTTGACTCTATATTTATAATCAATTAGAAATGATTTTGTTTGACCGCCACTTGCGGTGTTATTATGGTGAAATATACCCAATAGGATACGCTCCCGTAAAGAGTGAGATCTGGGTTCGAATCCCGGCTGACGCAAACGCTTTTGCACAGCACTCTAAATTTATAAATTGCAGAGACGCGGAGGATGCTAATGTGTTTTTACGACGAATATACCCTCTTTTCACACATTTAGATCCTCTATTTTGATTTAGTCGATGTAAATTCGCAGCATACTCATTTGACACTCTTGAAAGAAGAAAAGGGCTATGCATAAATTTTAAAGCACGTTCCGGAGTGCTATGGCTTGAGCTGCCACATTTTCCCTGTTGACCATCTATTGTTTCAAGTTCTCATAAAAATCATATTTTTTAGAGACTCAGCTTACATGAGATTATTACGAAGTTTACTCGGAAAACGTCTCGACATCTTTGCCTTTTTCACAGCCGATTTATGCGAGTCGTCAACTCACAATCGTTCACCCTCGCGGTCGCACCGGGTCCAATTTTGTTCACTGAAGTACAGCCCAAAAAGTGATCTCATTCAAAACAAAATTGTGCAAACAAAAAATGAAGCAAACAATGCTGATCAATATAAAAGTTTGAAGACAACGACGAGTTTTAGCCTCATAAAGTACCGATTCGACTGGGAGAGATCCTCGTGGCTTCGATTATTATGCGTTTACGGGAACAAATTACGTCCATGGCACTACTTCGAATTTCTCGATTGAACAGCAACAAAATGATCGGATTTACAGAAACATTAATCGTGCCTAAATAAACAGTATTTTGGTTCTCGAGTGGTAGCACAAAAGAATCGATATTAAATTACGGAGCTCTGCTATAGATCGTTGTTACGTGAAAGCTCAATAACCAACCACGGATTTTACATCTGTTTCTTCATCAAATATTTTATTTGATTTTTAGAGGTCATTGAATTGAATTTGTTCTGATATTTCAACCATGCTCAACTGAACAAAATATAATAGCTATGCATATGGGTGAAAATCAATCACAACATGACGGTATTCTTAGCTCCAGGGCCGATCAGCATGAAGAGAGCCACATGTGGACTATTCAGTAGAGCGAAGGCAGGAAGACTGTCCGATATCGCGCTTAATTTTCCGACTACTAGATTGCGTCTTGAAGTACGCATTGTAGGCGTGCGAGAGAACGATGTTAAATGTACACCATATAACACGCGTCAAATAGCGAATTTGAAGTCCTGTTAAACTCCTATATAAGTGTGGTAGCACCTGCTCCTCTATCCCACAAAAATGGAGGCTTGTTATACCCAGCATTCGTTGGACGCCTTAGTAGAATATTCACCCGCGTCCTGCTTGGGTTAGCTGTAAAAAGGAAAACCTCAAGAAATCTGAATTTGAGGAATATTGACTTAATTATTCATAAGCCTACATGTGGTCGTTACATAAACTCGTTTTCAACTTACGTTTGTACGTCTTCATCTTCTTCAGAGCCAATGACAAAATGAATGGTACAAAGACGTTTATTCTTGCGTAATGAATTTTCGCAGTTGCAGAGTGAAATTTTTTCAAGTAAGTCTTTTCGAACAAGGCAACCTCATTTGGTG